TAGCAGAAAAACTCCCAGCAGTTAAAACTAACCATATCACTATTGGTGCAGTAGTGGCACTTTTATCCTGGGGGTAATCAGCTGCTCTCTGATTGAACTTAAGGCTCACTAAATTGACGGGAACTTGTGTGTACTGTAAACATAGCCAAATACCCATGGCTAGAAAGTTCATAAATTCTAGAGAAAAATCTGCTTTTGTCACATCCCTAGACCAATGTAATTTCTTTTTGAAATTTATTTTTATTGAATTTTTTGTATTTCATACAAAACATCTTAATCATCTGAACAACCCCTCCTCCATTAGCACCCTCCCATAGCCCCTCAAATGGATTTCATGCATTCTGACATTTATGTTAAGGCCTATTGAGTCAATTTAGTGTGCCCAGATGCCTCTCAGTGCGACTTCTTCTACTGGGGTCTAGTCAGTCTATCTAGAGTCACTCCCTTAAGGTAGACCAACTCTCCCTCACCCAGCAGTAATCAGTTGCCAATAGTTCTTTGGCTAAGATTGGAGCCTGCTTCCCACTTCCCCAGTTCTATGCTGGGTTTTTGTCTGCTTGCGTTTGTATGGGTCTTGGGCATGCTGACACCATTGCTGTAAATTCATATGACCAAGGTTTCAGGACTCTGTAAGACTCTGTTTCCATATGGTAATGTATCTCCTGTCATGGCTCTTACAATCTTTCTTCCCCTCCGCTTCTGCAATGGTTCCTGAGCCCTGGGTGGGTGGAGTTTAATTTCTTACTCTATTCTAAATATGCATCCTCATATTTACAGACAAGTATACCTTTAATCCCTCATTAAAGAAGCTTCTTTTTGCAACAGAGACTATTAAAGAGTTTCAGAACTGGTCAAATGCAGAGAATAAGTGTCCATGAAACACTGAACCTTAAGTGACACATCTTCAATGCAACCACTACATATTGGATGACTGCATCTCTCAACTCTCACAGGAGAAGTTTCCTTATGCAGCATAAGGAGGCAATAGAGTGTTTATCCTTGAATAGGGCACCAATTTCAAACCTCTACTTCCGAAGGCTCAGAGAGCATTGTGGAAGAGCCGGCACAAAGATTGCAATAACCAGAGGGGGTGGATGAGCACAAGGGAACAGAGTCTTCCAGACATCTGGTTACACATTCATAGGAACTCACAGCAATGGTTACAGCATGCACAAATCCTACACAATCTCAAACCAGACAAAATGCCATCATAGACATGGGGAAGTGGGTAAGAAATCCCAACCCAACCTAAGGAACTTTTGACAATTGATGACTACTGGGAAGGTGAAAGACAGTGTCTTATATGGATGGGACTCTTGGTGAGTCCAGTGGATGGGCTCACACTGAAGAACATTTGTGGATACAAATCAGAACCTATAGGCATAT